CTCATCGTTTCATAGAGAGATTATCAAAGAATTACCCAAAATATCCAGCATTTTCGTCTCCTTTCCATGGAAAAAAAAGCAGGAAATGAAACTGTAAAACACAGACTAGCCACGCTTTCCAATCAAATCGAAGACCCGTGGTATGATCTGGAAGGAACACTGCATTTGCGGCAAGGCCAGAGGCCTCGTGGCTTTCTCTGTACTGTCGTGGCTACTCATTCTGCCTACTTGCTGAGCTATAGAAGGTTTTTTTTTTTAAAAAAAGCAACAAATTTTACAAAGATGTCTTAATGAATGAAATCTGAGGTCAGGGTCAAAAAGAATCCTCTGTTCTATGTATTTTATACATTTCTATGACACATTCATTTTGAGGATGTTTAAGACTTTTTTTTTTAATGTTAAAAAACCTCCCAGGAGTTCATTAGTAAGTCAGTCTAGCCATGCAAAGGACAATAATAAAAGCATGTAGTTGAAAAATACTTACGGGCAGGGGTCAGGAAAATTCCAGAAATTTCAGCTTAGCTAATGGCCATGAAGCTTAGTTGGCTCTATTTGTCTTTCATGGGCACGTGAATTCTAATGCTTTCAATTCACTGAGCATCCACACTGGTTTCCCTACTGGCCTAATAAAGTAATGGTCAGGATGAACTGTGGAAAAGTTTTAGTCAGTGATTAAAACACAGATTTGGCTACATCTGAAGAGTGGCCACCCTTCCCTTAAGCTCTCAAACCCCCTTGTTTTCTATCATTTCACAAAGGCAGGGCATGAAGCACTCTTCAGAAAGATGGGACAGACAATTATTTCTTTTATGTGCGTTTTAAGCTAATTCAGAACATTTCTACTATTATTCGAGTTAACAAGCTTCGGGCTCATGGGAGGGTTTTCAAAGACCTGGGGAAAGTAGCAGAGAGTTAAGAAATGATAGAAGGGAAATAGAGGGTACCAGGCAGACGGCTAATTAACATCTTGTAAGACCTTTCACTGAAGCAGCTGGTCTAGTCACATGTTTAGAAGATTCACAGAATTTGTAGAATTGAAAGGGTCTTTACAGAGCATCGAGCTCAACCCCTTCATTTTATGGATGGGAAAACTGAGACCAGTTAATTGCCCCAGGTCACACTGGGTTCACAGCAGAACCAGGCTGACAATTCCGTGGACTCTGCCTCTTGCCCAAAGTTGCTACATTTGCTCCCCAAACCGCAAATTAAGTTTTCCCAACGGACAGGCATCAGACAACATCTCTATCCTTAAATTTTCTTTTAACATGCAAAATATCTGGCAAATAATTTGATTCGGGGAGTCTGTAGGCAATAATACACCTTTGTAGTTGTTAACATTTTCACTGTGTAATTCAGAACTATAACTCGGCACCTCTAATCTTCTTAATCTATTTGCGTTGTTTGATTTAGCTATGCTTCTTTCAAAAACAACTAGCCTCTCACAAAATGCGACATTTTGGGGTGGGTCTTTATGTTGTGGTCCCCAAACACAGATTATGCCCCACTTCCATTATTTCTATTCCCTTTGCCAAGCAAGTCTTTCAAAGCCCCCTGAAGTAAGTATCTGATTAGCACATTCATGAGACAACGGATTCAGCTATGTTAATTAGCAGCTCTACTTCAAAAAAAAAAAAAAAAAGAAAGAAAAAGAAAAAAGAAAGAAAAAAGAAAAATTCCCAAAACTGGCCAAGAGGGGGAGCAGCTAGCACTGTCACTACCGTTTTCCGGCTGGCTGTCTCTAGCCTAGGATGGGAGATTTCTGGTATTGAATATTCTAAGGTAAAGAGTAGATAAAGATTATAGTGTAGGAAAATAAAGAGGTGAGTCCTTAAACTCAGGGGTACAGGTTTAAAATATGGGACTTCTGACATTGGGGGAGCAGGGGAGGGATGTGCTGCTTAAAGTTCTTCTGTAGGTCAGCCAGGTCTGAAAACATACACACGCAGGCAGCTTACAACTTAAAAACCGCCTTATACACTGTATATTCTCTTTGTATGTGCAAGCAGTAAAAAATTAAACATGCAGAACAAAAGAGGACTTAGAAACAAGGGGACTACGGAGCAGAGCCGGTGTTCAAACTCTGACCACAGCTCAGTGCGGCCGCATAATAGGATGATTTCTACTTAAAAGAAAGCTAATCCCCTAAAAGCCTCTAAACCTTACTTTTATTTGCAAGTTTATAAAAAAAAAAGTGTTCCTGCCTTAGAAAGAAGGGGTACCTCATAAGCATGACTGAAGTTTTGATGACCGAGGAAGTTGCTTGAGGTCAGCAGCACCACTTCACGTGTATATGGTAAGCCTGGGGACAGCCGAAGATGTTCCTCTGAGGTTGTCTGATCGCCTATGTCCCCACGTGTCCCTTGCTATTTCCTCAGTCCTCATCCCCAGCCTTCTTTGGGCCACCTTGCTGCCCCTATTTTTGAGTCTCCAGGTGCCATTTTGGTACTCTGCCAACCAACTTCCTGTCTTCCATTCACATCAGTAACCCAGGGTTTGGCTTTTCCAAAGGCTTGGACAATTCTTCGATCAAAGCATCCCCACTCTGGATTTCTGAGAACCACCACAGCCCTATACCATTTCACTCAACATCCTCTCTAGGCCTTGTGCAGTATTGGCAGGTCATAGTTGCCAACCTTAAAAAAAAAAAATCAATAAATGTAGCACCCACTGGAGAACTATGGTTTGTTGAACACCAGTCAACTTAAGTTTTACCATATAAAGCAGTTCATTGTCTCTGAAAACCTGACTTGGAGGAAATACGCAAAGTATCCCAGTTCTGTTCTGAGCTCCAGACCAAAGACATCTCAGCTACTACTCCTTCGAAAAAAATTTCAGTCTATGCTCACTACCTGTCTTGTCGATGCCATATTTTAATTTGAAGTCAGAAGAAACAAACTGGAGTTTCACAACCCTTTTTCATGACCAGTTTTCAAACTGATAAAGAAACAGTGTTAAACAGATTTATTGAATGTGAAGCCTGGTAGGGGAGGGCAAAGGAAACTTGTTCAGTCCTTTTCAAAAAAACATATGTTAACACTTACTGATAAACTTTCTCTGTATGGCTTTTTAAAAACTACACATTGCAGTCATACAAAAAGGGCTATAAAACCATGGGGAAAGAGAAGGAGAAAGAACAGCTAAACCAGCAAGAGAAGTCACTCACGTCTGTGGACGCCACACCAGGAGGAGACACGTCTAACAAGAAACGGGGCGGCTTGGAGGTGGTGACCTTGGAACTAGCCTTATCTTCACTCCATCATGCTACCAACAGGCTAGCCATTTCCAAAGAGCTGCAGCAAATTTTTCCTTCTAAATGCCACTACCAAACCCCTAAGTGGTAATTTTTCAGTACCTGCTTCTGAAGTTTTCAAAGATGACCATCTGATTATCTTTCTAAGTTTTCTCCTCAAAGGAAAGAAACTGCTTCAGCTATCATCTTGGATGAGAAAGGCCATAGTCCAAAGAACAATACCATTCTTTCCAGTAATCATCCTGATAATTTAGTGGCCACGAGACAGAAGTGGTCTGATGGTGTCTTTTGCCAATAACACTCATCTTCACGTGGTGTTAACATATTGTTAAATATTCTTCACTGTTACAGACTGTGTGTTGGGGAAGTATGGGATAATAAACAGGACTTCAAGATATATAAGTTACTTCCATCCATCCAGGGAAAGGAGATAAAATTAAGACTAACACAACTTTGCATACACAGTGTTGGGAGAAAACAGCACAATAAATGGCACAGGACACAAACATTTTAGTTTGACTACATTACAAATGAAATTATGCTTTCGTCGTCTGGCCTAGGAACCTATCCATGCTTATTAAATCAGTTATAAGTTTCAAATAACAAATCTCAAAGCTAACATTGGAAATACAACCTGTTCTTTAGCTAGGGACTGCCTTATCAGCTCTATCAAATCTAATTTAGTCCAACTTTTCACCATGGTAATGAGCCCTTTGCAGAAAGACTCAAAGACATTTCACATCTCGCGAATTTGCCTTGTACGTCTTCCCCACACAGAATGTCAAGAAAAGCACGCTTCAAAGGTACTATGTAATTAGAATGGCCTTTAAGACAGGCACAAAGGAAATCATTCCTATTAAAATTAAATCTACTTCATAACAATCTTCAAACTGAGTGAACAGCACCAGGAAAAAAAAAAAAAAAAAGACTCCTGAGGTGTTTTTGGACCACAGATTCCAGTTTTTAAAGTCTGTTATCTGTTACTTGGCTTCAGGGATGCCTGAAGTGCCTCTCGCTTGGCTCACGTTGGCTATGTCATCACTCTGAAAAGAGAGTGTGCGTGAAAAGAGAGAATCTGTGTTTGGCACCGGGGATTGAATTGGGTTTGGTCGTGGCCTTCCAAGGATGGACCAAAACTTCAGCTCAAATGAGGCTGGGGCTGGGGCCCAGCTTCAGGAAGACTCCACAGGGTAGGTGCTACTTCTGGGTCCCTGCTGCATGGAAACTCAAGAACTGAGCTTTAATCCTGCCTGTGTTCTACAGAGCTTCAAGAAATTCTGATTGTCTTTGGGGGATCCATTTTGAAACTGCATTTGAAGTCCAGCATGTGCCGAATCTCTATGATGAGTCTAAGTTTTCAGAGGCCTGCTTTTTATTAGGGAGATTTTTTTCTTAAGTGACTTGCGTCAACAACACTATTCTGTGTTCACCCAAGAAAATAAATGAAAGCATTTAAATTAAACTTCTTTAATCTATTTTTTGGCTCCTGGTGACCATATTTCCATAATGGCTACCATACCATACAGATCCTCGTGGATCTGGAAGGATTCTAGCAATAAAGCTGGAAGGCTAACTTGCCCCTGGGATCCAACAAGGAGAAGATCTTGGGAAAAAACTTGAGCGCAGAGAGAAGAAAGGCGTGATCATCCGTGACTTCACTGTCAGCTAATAAATGTGACTTGACTCAAAGGTATAAAACAAATTCAAGAGCAAAGCAAATATGTAAGCTGACCAGGGTTCTAATACATACCGTCAAACTTCTTATAACGGGAAGCAAAGACAGCTTGCAAATGATTGCACTGTTCGCTGACCACACTTTTGAAATCATCTTTACTTTGCAGGCTGTACTTCTCCTCCATCTCTTGAGAGCAGCAGGTATAATCCTGGGGACAAATCTTCAGATGATCACCTGGAAGATAAAATGTAGGCCAATCAGTCTCCATCATCACTCATCAAGTCCAAGAGGGATGACTTTGATTTAGGTGCACACGCTTGGCTTTATTTCTGGGCATGAGATTCCTGCGAAGGCCCAGGCCTCGTGTGTACCAGAATAGTTTCATTAAGCTAAAACTATTGATGCCCTTCTTGGAAAAATAAGAAAATAAAGCCACCTCCATGAGACAAAAGAACCTTCCAATGAGGAAGATTACAGCAGAGGAAAATCCGTGTGGCCAGTAAAGGGAGTATCATTCAATATCAACCCAAGACTCTCATAAATTCTTTGACAGTGGATGCTAACTGCTATGCATGTCGAGTAAATGAGGCATTGTTCGGCTAGCGTGGGGAGCTCACACTCAGAGAGGGCATCCTTAATGAAGAAGAGTTTATAAAATATGTGGCAACAACCAAAAACTGAGCAAATACATGAGGAGCAGATGTGGGAAAGCAAAGGGATACGTGCATTTTAAGGGGTTGTCGGCCAAGAGGAAACAATGGCGTTCACGCTGGGTCACAAAGGGTGATGGTCAATGATCCTCAGTTTTAAGATTTTTCTCAGGGGTGGGGTACATATAGCACAGAAGCAGAGTGTGAGCTTAGCATGCACATGAGATTATGGGTTCAATCCCCAGTACCTCCATTAAAAATACAAACAAATAAGCAAACAAACCTAATTACCTCTCCTCCACCAAAATTTTTTTAATTAAATTAAAAACAAAAAGACTCTCTTGTCCAGTGTCTTATGTACAGATGTTAGACACTATAGTATTGACCCTATGATTGTGTGCGGCATCGCCACTCATCCCAGTATAGACTAATGGCTTCCAGTAGATGTAATCCTTATGTAGTGATGAAGCCTTAAGGGTCAAGACAAATGTCAAAGACACATTCACCCCGCAGCAGCTCAAAGCACAAACTATTTCCCTCCCCTACACCAACTATATACAGTCTGGATGTGTGAGTTTGGACAGCTTCTTTTTATAAATCCTGAACTTCACCCATGCCCTGTTCCTCCCGTCACAGAACAAAAATTGTGCTTGGAACAGACCATATCTCTCCCTTACAGTGACCAGGAGACATGATGCCCTCAAAAAATCAGCCCCACTGGGTAACATCACTTCAGCCACTCCAACAGTGATAGGTGCAGTATAGGTGCCCTTGGATAATTGTGTACAGATGTTCACAAGGATTCAGCTCCACTGTCCCTTCTGCTGTTGCTGTGCATGCTCCATGTGAGACAAAGGGGGTCTACAAAGAACCAAGACCTCAAGAACTCAGGATGGAGTATATTGAAGACGTAGGAGCCTCAGTGGTAAACGTGCGCAGTAGGTCAAGGGAAGAAGAACGAAGAGCAAATCCTTTTTAACAACACTAGTCATGGGAATGAAATGGGTCGTGAGCTGGCCACTGCTGTTTCCTGGCTGTGTGTGCTTATAGGAAATAAGTCTCCCCCTCAGCTAGATACCAAAGTAGCTTTGGGGAGGGGGCATATTTCAGATGACATTGTATTGACGCTGTATTTGACTAACACTAGGGTTGTCAACACCACATATGTGAATAATTATATAACATATATATATATTCCTGATCACTCTTCCTTCTTGGCCAATTAAAAAGTAGGGAAGAGTGTTACTGCCAGACAAAAATCGGGTATGCAGCATTAAAGGACTATTTCAAGAAGAGAAGGGAAGCAATCTTCAAATAACTTCCTCATCCAGAAACCGCTAAAAGCTTCTTTTGGCATTTCTGAAACCCTTGGTCAACAGATAATTCTAACAAAAAAAGGTGGGGGGGCGCACGCCTTGTGTGAAAAAGTTTAGAGCTGTGAGCTTGCAGACTATCTTAGATCTCATTAGCGAAAGAAGGTTTGCTTGCTAAGGCTCCGTTTTCTGGAAACACCTTTGTTACAACCAAAAACAAAACCGCCTCTTCACTGGCTTAACAAGTTCACAGCAGCCGCTGGTACTGGGACAGATAATTAACGGAGACATAGCCAGCCGTCGGCTGGTTTCAGGGCTGAGTGTCTCCCCCAACACAATCTTACTTAACACATAAAATCATACAGAGGACCCCACTAGTACAGTCTTTGCTGTCGCTGTATAAATCATCCGTATCACACACACCCCCCACACAGAAAATTAACTGAAATGCTCCAAATGACAACTTAGGACATACAGAACCATGTAAGTGAATTACAGAAAGGCTGCAGCTGCTTTTTAAAATTGTCACAGGCTAAAATTCATCACAGGCCGGTGAATTCCAAGTCCCTCCAAAGACCTAGCTGCAGTATGTATTGAATTCCCATGGCAGAACAGTTCACGTATCTGGGGGAAAAAAAAATCTATGTTCACCTGGTCTTAACAAGATTTACACATATAATAAACTAAAGGGTCACTTATTGGATCCTATCAAAATAAGCTTCTAGGACCAAGGAAAAGCACCCCTTTTTCCCACCTCTAATGTACACACACACACACATCCACAGCCTAAAGCCAGAAAATTCAAAGACAGCAGGAGAGGATAATTTTCTACATTTAAGAAGACGCCACAAGGGGCCCTCGGCACAACCTTAAGGGGATCTGCTTATATCTGAACATTGGAGTACATTTTTGTTTTGGCAATGCCTAATAAAAAAGAGTCTACTTTCATTTTAGAGAGATCTTTCCAGGAAGACTTTGTCTAATGGCAAAAGGCTTGCCTGTGTAAAAGATGACAAGAGGGTAGCTCCTTGGCTAATGTTTCTGCAGGCAGAGCCATCCTCCCCTCAGGACAGACAAGCCCACTTCAGTGGGCCACTTCTACCCATATAAGCCTTGAATGCACCACAAAATTTCTGCATTTCTAAAAAGCATTACTTGCAAACGTAATATGACATTCTTGCCAAAAGCCCTACCTGACACACATGTCCAAGACACATTTGTGAATTCAATCCCCAGCCATACTTAGGCTACTAGGGATTCAGTGCCACAACCAGTTTCTGCAGATGAGAAGGACAAAGAGGGAAAGGGGGACAGGTCTCGGTACATTTGAAAATGAAACTAGAGCTCTGCACTCTGGGAAGAACTCAAGCTACTCAAACTCACTTGATTTTAAAACCTTTAATATTTCTACTTTAACCCCAGAAGTCGTTTCTATTAGGAGCCAGGGCTATGTAGCCATGGAAAGACATTCTGTCTTGTCTGTTGGAGACTGCTTCTAAAATGCTACGTGTCAATGGGAAGTGCTTTTTCTTTCTGGAGATCTCCGTTCTATACCTGGTGTTCCCATATACTTCTCATCTAAGAAGGATATCTCAAGTTTTTCTTTAGGCTGAAAGAACTGAGCTCAGGGACGACAGAATCCAATGTGGGACAGGTAGATGAAAGCCACTGCGGGGGGTGGAGAGCAGGGGGCACATTTTTTTTTAAAGGGCCCTAGGTGATTCCAATACACACCATTCCTGAAGATTTATAACATGAAAGGCTTAAGCATTAGAGCCACAGAAGAGCTGAGAATCGTAGTTAATCCGACAGCTCAAGTCAACAGTGGCTTATGATCTAGGACTATCATCTGTCTCCTCTCCTTTCTTAAGTCAACCTCCTGCTTCCATGACCCTTGCTCTGGAGCGCCTCCTCTCCACGTACCTCTTCTAGTCCCTGAGCTCTCCCATCTGCTTTCCACTCTCTTTACTCTACTCAGACCGTCCTCTCTCACCCCACTCCACCTCTTTTAACTGCACATAACATGAAACCAAAGGATTCTTTATTTGTTACACTGGTTGAGAGCTCCCTGTTCTTAATTTTAAAAGCAGGTGAATTGACGGCTTTATGGATTTCTAAGGAAGCACTTAAATTAAGTTGCTTTTTGTACATGACCCTTGATTAGGTTTTTGCTTTGTGGGTCAGTGGCCCTCAAAAGAATAAAGGTCCTTTAGCCTTGTCCTCGGAGGCTTGGAGGAGACTCAACGAAGCGTGCTTTTAAAGCTTAACTCTATGGCATTAAAAACAAACAACAAAAAAAATCACTCGAAAGAGCCAAACTTTGTTCAATCACACCAGCTCTATGTAATTTCTTTAGTCTTCATATCAATGCCTTACTTTTCAAAGTGAACAAAGACAATCACAATAAATTACTACTCAATCCTGCCGGGTGTGTACTGGCCCTTTTTTTTTTTCTTTTAAGCACTTCAAATTGATGGTTAAAGCAGCAAGCATTGAATATGAGGAATCTCTTCCACCCTTTAACAGGGCTCTGAGAACTGCGCGTTCTCATTTTATTTCATTTACTCCTCTCACCAAAGGCTGGCTCTGATGTACAAACGCTGTGCAGCCAATGTCCATTTATTTTCAGCTACTCAGAACCTACCTTCCCATAGAAAAGGTTCTAAATGGTGATTAGGTTCTCAGCTTATTTACTATCCACTTGACTACTTCTAACTGTATTTTACACCATTTGCTTAACGTCTCTTTCAGACAATTTATTTTGAAGTCCATCTAGAAGCCAAGATGTCCCCTAGATTCTCGCAAGTTTTGGGGGAGATGGTGATGGCAGGAATACTTGTAGTTACCACTAGGGGGTTAGCTCCCTACCTGTAGGAGATAAAGTAAATCTCTAAAGATTACTCCACCAGCGTCCTAAAGGGAGGAAACAACAGCCAGAAACTTTATGGGACACAGTGCAGGGAACCCAGCTTGCTGGCACCAGCATGATTTGTAAGACAGACATTCTCTGTACCCCACCTCATTTTACCAATAAAGCAACCAAATGCCTTTGGTAAATAACAGGGACACAAATGGCACCCTAAGGGTGAGGGCTGCAGTGAGGGACATTTAAGAAGAGACTGGAAAGCACTAAGGAAAACTGCCAGTGTAGGAGGCTATGATTTTGCAATGGCCTTTCACACAGAAACTGAGTACCTCACTTGGGTTTTAGACAAAACTTAGTTCTTTAGGACAGGTTTTTAAGACGTGAACTTAAAAGCTTCCAAATACT